ATGGTCTAATTTTCATTCAATTAGCTTTGTTTAACAATTCGGCTACTCATTATATAAAGCAATTAGGCGTTTTATAAAACGACTAATGAATCACCGCTGCATTGTTAAATTTATTAAATTACTGCCTGTCTAATATCCTAGTTAAATCATTTCAATCAGTATATACATAACGTTTAAAATTTGAATAAAAAAATTGTGAAATGTTTTTGTTGGTCGATTGACCCTTTGGCTACTAAGAGCGCCTAAAGGCGCCCGACGTTTGGTCCAATATTGTCTGCACGGTCAGACGAATTTCGCCCATACGTCGAAATGGCTCCGTGTTCAAAGGGTTAATAAAACGCTTAGTTGCTTTATAAAATAGCTAGCCCAATCGTAAAATAAAGCTAAGGGAACGAAAATTTAACTATCGACTAGGCGTTTTACAAAACGCCGGATTTTACTATCTGGCTACGACATACATATGCAAAACAGGTAACTAACTTCGAAGCCATATTTTGGCCGATTGTTATTGGCTGTAATTATTAAGTCCATTTACTTTCTGACTTTTCCACTCATCTCGCGGATAAACTTTGCGAACAAACCGGGTGCTTTTCCCTCGTCTTTTCATACACTTGTACCACTTTTTATTACGCGAGTTCTCGAGTACCACGCAAACAGCTGACCAAGCTTTTTCAGTCATTCATGAATCTCGCGAACGAGGTGGTCATTAGTATGTCCGAGCGGCCATATTAATTTCACAAGGAGCTTAAAGCATCTCCTGCATTCGTCATGCTCGTCGAATTTAAAGAATCCCGTTTTCACGATTTCTGCCCGTACGAAGAACTGGAATTATGATTAATTATAACTACCAGAAAAATGTACATAACCCACAGAAGATTAGACAGAGAGTTAAGAAATTCCTTTTCTTTTATTACGGGGAATTTATTCATATCGAAGTATGTCTCTTTCGTAACAATATGCTGCAATATATTTTACCATTGTATGATATGAATTTCGGGAAAAGTTTGGAGACGGAAGATGCCTCTATATCTATCCAGCGTTGGACGCCTCCACCCTTCCCCTCTCGTCAAAATCCACAAACTTATTCCCTCTAAAATTGTATTTCATCTTTTGACGTTGGATTTTATTTTTGTAATATCTCGGAATACCGTAGGGGCATAGTTAACATGAAAATAAAAACAAGGGCGGTAAGATAAGGACTATTTCAATAATTGATATGGAGGATTGGGGAGATCGGTTTACGAAGCCTCTTGGACGCCATCTTGATTTTCCAGAATCCACAAACTTATTCCCTCTAAAATTGTATTTCATCTTTTGACGTTGGATTTTATTTTTGTAATATTTCGGAATATCGTAGGGGCATAGTTAACGTGAAAATAAAAACAAGGGCTGTAAGATAAGGACTATTTCAATAATTAATACGGAGGATTGGGGAGATCGGATTACGAAGCCTCTTGGACGCCATCTTGGTTTTCCAGAAGGCGAAGCTCTTCGCGCGAGTATACTATTCCGTTGGAAGATTGCCACTGAAAGCGCAAAATCTCGTCACGCCGCCTTCCTCCTGGAAATTTATTCCAGGGAATCTCCTCGAAGAGCCGCTTCGAAAGAACGGCAATCCGAGTGATAATGAATTCCCGTTTAACATAAGGCGGCGGCGCTAAGGGTGTAAATCAAAGCTGGGGCTCGGTATATCAGAAAGATATATTGTTATACCGGGTATAAATCGGCATTCGCCCAACTGATATCTAGGATATATGGGACGTCTACTAAACATACTTGTCTTTGCCGTAAATACCTCTAACGAACAATGGGATGCCTGGAAATGAGATGCAAAAGATGCATAAACCCGTGACATCGAATGCGCAGTTCAAGAAACATTTATTTTTCGCTTATTTTCAGAGATCCGAATTTTACGCGATCAAGGGAGATGCGATTAAAAGAATATTTGGGAATGCCATGGAATGTCATAATGTTTGCGCAAGAATAAAAAAAACATTTACTGACCGTTGGCCGCGGGGCACCTTTTCGATGTTACTCTCTTTTGTTTTTATACCACTGTATCTTTTCCTGTACTATTTTTATTCTAAGTAATGTATGAAAAACTGCTCATTTCTGTTTTTAGGTGCTTCTTCCTGTATGTTGCAACAATTGCATGATAATAGAAAATATTTTCAAGCCTTCCGCTGAGAGGTACCTTTCCGATATCACTTTTTTGTTCTTATGGAACCGATACTTTTCCTGCAGCATTTCTACTCTAACAATGAGTAATATACAAGAAATTGCCAGTTTCCGTTTTCAGACGCCTTTCCTTTTTCCTGTATTACAATGATCGGCGAGGTCCCATCATTCTTCCGGGAAATTCGCCTCGCGCCATTTTGCAAGCGTCGCGTTTCGCGCCGAGAGGACGCGTCCATCTTTCCGCGACGTCGTCTGGTACGTGGCAGCTTTTCAAAATTCACGCGCCTCCTTTTTCACGTTTTCAACTTTGTAGAGGAAGCAAAGTCGCTACTCAAACTCGAGACAATGGCGCATAACGTAGGCAAACGAAAAAAGGATTTTACGAACTCGTAAATCCCAGTTTCGCATTCTCATTTTCTGCATGCGTTGCATTTTGCGTCAAGCGAACGCGGCCAACTTTCCGCGAAATAGTCTGAGTGGAACGTGCTTTCCAAAATTCAAAATTCAGCTTTTCAAAATTCAAAATTCAGCTTTTCAAAATTCACGCGCCTCCTTTTTCACGTTTTCAACTTTGTAGAGGAAGCAATGTCGCTACTCAAATTCAAAACAATGGCGCATAACGTAGGCAAACAAAAAAAGGAATTTACAAACTCGCAAATCCCAGTTTCGCATTCTCATTTCTGCATGCGTTGCATTTTCCGTCAAGTGGACGCGGCCAACTTTTCGCGAAATAATCTCAATGGAACGTGCTTCCAAAATTCAAAATTCGCGCGATTCCTACTTTACACCCCCTTTTGTACATTCTTCAAAATCGTTCTCTAAACTGGAAATCCCCTCTAAAATTCCCGCACCTCTCTTTCGCATTAATGGATGTATCATTTAATTCGTTGCAGAAGAAACATCACGTGAAAAATCCCAGCCAATGGGCCAAAACATACGCGTGGAAGGAATGAATTTTGCAAAATCGTTTTCCAAATTCAAAATCCCCTCTAAAATTCCCGTACCTCTCTCTCGCTTTAATGAATGCATAATTTAATTCGTTGCAGAAGAAACATCACGTGAAAAATCCCAGCTAGTGGGCCAAAACATGCACATGAAGAAATGAATTTTGCAAAATCGTTTTCCAAATTCAAAATCTTTCGCATTAGTGTATGCATCATTTAATTCGTTGCAGAGGAAACATCACGTAAAAAATCCTAGCCAATGGGCCAAAACATACACGAGGAAGGAATGAATTTTGCAAAATCGTTTTCCAAATTCAAACTCCCCTCTAAAATTCCCGCACCTCTCTCTCGCTGTAGTGGATGCATAATTTAATTCGTTGTAGAGGAAACATCACGTGAAAAATCCTAGCCAATGGGCCAAAACATACACATGGAAGGAATGAATTTAGCAAAATCGTTTTCCAAATTCAAAATCCCTTCTGAAATTCCCGCACCTCTCTCTCGCTTTAATGTATGCATCATTTAATTCGTGCAGAGGAAACATCATATAAAAAATCTTAGCCAATGGGCCAAAACATACACGTGGAACTAATAAATTTAGCAAAATCGTAAGCAGCGGTTTCGAATTTCCATCCCGCTGGCTTGGAGTTCCATTCTCGCAACTTTTTCCGCCCCTCTGGCCTAGCCTTGAAACTTTCAATGCCACGCATCGAACAATAATTTGGCTGGCTCGTGTCCTCTGAAAGGGCCGGAGCCCGGCATGTGCATTATCGCCGGGGCGTTATCGAGATGCGCCGAAAATCCGGAGTACTGCTCTAGGCGACCTTGCCGATCCACCCGCGATATTATCCTACATGCAAACCCGCCGAATATGCGCCGCTTCCAATTTCGATCGAACGACTCCGACAAGTGGGTCAAGAACGCGCGACGCCGCGATTTCGGGCGCCCCCGCCGAGACGAGAATTCTGGGGGGAATTTATGCCCCCGTAGTGGCACGCCTGACCAGACCCCCCCTCGTTTTCGATATCTCGATCCTGAGCTCGCAGATATCGACCTTGCCTAAAATTGGCCCACCAGCTCGTGGCGCACAATTTCCCAATTTCAGAATCCCCAATATCGCGGAATAATTTCTAAATATTTTTTCTCCCCATCATCTGTAAATATCTCAATTGACAAATTTTTCAAGACGTCTTGTAGATTTTTCCACGATATTTTTTGTAATTCTTAGACATATTCAGATTTAATCATTTATAGGCATGTATGAAAATTATGTTTTAATTTACAAAATATAATGAAATTGTTTACTTTACTATTGTTATCGGACACTTCATTTGGCATCGAAAAACACTAAAAATGATATTACCACTTAAACTCATGTCTATGAAAATCTACAGTTTTCTATTTTCACCTAACCAAATAAAACTTATAACTAAATCAGATCTAATAAAAGAAACTAAACTCAATTTGAAAACATTTTATTTGGCGAGCACTGAAATACTGACCAATGAGTACACTTCGAGTGCTAGCGAAATAAAATGTTATCAAATTGAGTTAAAAATTCATTTTATATTTATCAGATTTAGTTTGAAGTTTTATTTCGTTAGATGAAAATAAAATACTGTAGATTTTCATAGACACGTGATTTTATGTGATAATATCATTTTTAGAATAGATGTACTTGTATTATGTGGAAGACAATGTGCAATTTGGGAATAATATCTGATTTGAGTATTTATTATAATGAATTTACTAACATATTTGGCAAATTAGTTGCCTTTTTTATTAGTTCTTGGGGTATACGAAGAACTATAAATAGTCCCGACAATGCGATTATTGATTATTAGAGAGGGAGGGGATACAGAAGAGAGGGTTACTCACTTTTATGAAGGTGTAAGCTCTGCTTTCCATGGCGCTGGACCTCTTCCTCCGAGGCGTCACCAGAAGGCCGCGCCGCCATCTTGGTCCGTCTTCCTGCAACACGTAAGGCGTCGTATCTCTTATCCGCGTCCCTTGAAATTGCCTCGGGGAATCGAGCCGTAAGTGGTGAACATTTCATCGTGCGTCATCGCGCACGTACCTTGTAGAATGCCGGCGAGGGTGGATTGGCTCTTTTGGGAATTTCCGAGGATGAGCAAAACGTCGGAGCACGGGAAATGCATCCGGCCATTTTGTAATTCCGCGGGGGAGCCAAAGTGACAAGGAAACCGTGTCAAGATATAAATAGAGCGCGTTCGTCAGCGTATATATGTGTGCGTTATATCGTGTATATACGTATAAACGCTATAACGCATACATAACGATATAATGCGGACATATACACGCTATAAATATGGCCGAAGTCGGTTACAGACGGAAGGCACGTGAGAAATTCTTCTCCGCGTGTTTCCCGTAACCAATTTGCGGCGGACCTAAAACATTTACAATATTCCTGGGAAGTTTATAAGTTTTGCGAGACGCTAGATCTCCTATCGGGGCTTCTTGAGATTGCCTCGGGGAATTCAGCAGGAAGTGTTGAACATTTCACGGTGCAGGTAGGTTATAAAATGCCGGCTCGGGCAATTGGTCCTTTTGGAAATTTCACAGCTTCGTGCAGTGATGGACAGAGAACACTTGGGCCTATTTCCTAGCTCCGACAAAACAACGAATTCAGAGGGGGAAATGGAGTCGAAAATTGGACCACGTGGCAGGTACGGTATGAAATTCAAGCTGGAGCAGTTGGTGCTCTTTTGCATATTTTCCAGCTCCATGCAATCTAGGAAATCAGGGAATGGGGAGGTCTGTCAAGAAATTCCTAATAGAGACATATGAGGACCAAACTGAATGTAGATATTGTTGCTGTAATAAATGTCCACATCTGATGAGGAAGTAAAAAATCAAATTATTTCCTTTAAACCTTGTTACCGTGAGATTAATGAAATCGGACTTTACCTCAAGAGGTGAACGGAAACGCTCGATTCTTTTTTCGAGTTATTTCGTCCACGTTACAATTTGCATTATTTTCTCCACGTGGACTCCGGATACAAAAGAGAGGAAAAGCCTGCAGGAAGCGACATCCGTTTCCGGGATTGTGGGAAACAACCGCGTCTGCCAGTTTCCGGACGTGCGGCGAAATGTCAAGCAGTGCCGGGGTTAACCACAACGTGCCAAAATGGCGACTCACCACGATCGTTGAAAAAGCCGAGACAAATACCCCACCGCAGGAAGCATTTTTCATCTCCCCGCAATAGCATTGATGGAAACACCGAAACTGCGGATATTTTCCGTTTAGTGCCACGTAACCCATCACTGGTCACTAATGCATTTCATTCATCTCTGCTCTCTTCAAAAACTTTTTCAAAAATGCCAGATTTAGTACACCTGTCGGCATGGTCATCAATTTTTCATATACTGAAATAATATTTTTAAACAAATGTGCCTAGCAAGGTGCATTGGCGTTTATTGGCCTCAAATGCATTCCATTCGTTCCTGCTCTCTTCAAAAATTGTTTAAAAAATGCCGGATTTAGTACACCTGTCGACGTGGTCATCAATTTTTCATATGCTGAAATAATATTTTTAAACAAATGTGCCTAGCAAGGTACATTGGCGTTTATTGGCCTCAAATGCATTTCATTTGTCTCTGCTCTCTTCAAAAATTTAAAAAAAAATGCCGGATTTAGTACACCTGTCGGCATGGTCATTAATTTTTCATACGCTGAAATAATATTTTAAACCAAATTTGCCCAGCAAGGTACATTGGTGTTTATTGGCCTCAAATACATTCCATTCCACTCTGCTCTCTTCAACAATTTTTATTAAAAAATCACAGATTTAATACACCTGTCGGCATGGTCATTAATTTTTCATACGCTGAACCAATATTTGAAACCAAATTTGCCCAGCAAGGTATATTGGCGTTTTATGCACTTCATCACTTAAATAAAATTAGTATTACTCTTTTTCTGGTAAATATACATAAATAGTGTTTTATGAAAATATTAAATGAAGCGACTGTTTGCTCTTTGATGCAATGCGCGTCTGCCAGAAAGGCTGGCTCGATGATAAGCGGTTGAGCTCGAGTTGTTCAAACAGTTTTGTTGCATACAAGCCAGGTAATAATGGATTACCGCTATTCTTCGAGAACCGATCGAGGTTTCTGCGGAAGCTGCAGCCAATTGTATAAGTTGACCGGAGGCTTGCCACGGCTTGGTAAACATCGTGGTACCGTGCCAAGTATTGAATCGCTTTATATGCACATAAGTTGCACAACGCAGCTTACACGTCGTGTGTACACCCTAGGTTGTACGTAGCTATGCAAACTCTTAGCCGTGTGTCTACACAGTAACAACCGAGCGCGGATTTCGCATTGCAGAGTCACGCAAGTTGCGCCAGAGCTTGCGCCGCCATCTTGAATCCGTAAAAAGAATTCACGTCGCAATCCGCAAAAAAAATCCGCGCCCTGGTAGTACGATGCAGTTAATAACTGTTAATTACATGAGAAGAATGTCGGAAAATAAAGCATGGAACGTCTTTTGATTAAATTCATAGTACGCGCGTGCCGCTAAATGCGAAAAATTGAGATAACCCAACCTCTTCGGCGTCACCGTGGACCATAATCCAGATCCACCAAATGCACAAAGAATGAATGTTGATTTTAGTCGTCTTTAGCTTATTTCTTGACTTTACTCGTCTTAGTATATCTCCTGATGAGGTTAAGCGTGTACACATCGGGTGGGATTATAAGTATATTGCATGGGACCAAATAGAGGATTAGGTTCTCTGACTGCATTTATCACAATTTGTAAGTCAGGTCAGATGGCTCAAAGTTCCGTTTACATGTAAAGTAAACGCCTGAAATTAATACCCGAGGGAATTCCGGCGAAACTTCTCTCGAACCCAATTTGCAAATCTTACGAGCGCGTGGCTAACTTCTCGCGACTTGGAGAAATGAATTTCTACGGCTTCTTTATGTGCAATTTGGAAAGATGCCCGTGGCAAAACCTTGGTACCATCGTCACCGACCGCGTTCTCGCTTCCTACGGAGAAACTCCGATCCTCTCGTCGTAAATCATCGCCTCGAATCTCCGAAGTGGAGATTCCGGGCGCGAGGCGACACGGCGCCATCTTGAAACGGCGCGATACACTAACTAATGACGCCATCGGTCATCGCGGCCGGTTGCGCAATTAAAATTCAAGGTCCCCGGCGAGACCATTAAGCAAGGCGAGCATGCATTTTACATTTATTACCCAACATCCATAATTACATTCACGCGATATAATTCCAACCTGCTACCCTCTGGTCGGATTTCACCTCCTGCTCGAGTAAAACCTCTGAAACGGTAACTCGACACGTCGCCATCTTTAAGGTGATATGAAAGGGTCATTCTATATACATAAAACGTCAAAATATTAATAAAAATTTCATCCAAACTGGGTGCGCCGAATAATTTGACACTTTAACACGTGGTTATAGAGGCCCTAAGGAAGAACGCGATGTCCGTGAAATTTCATTTATCACAAAAAAAATATGATTTTCGCTCTAGTCTAGGCTAAATAACAATTTTTTTTTTTAAATGAAATTTGACGACCATCACGTTCTTCCTTAGGGCCTCCATAATCACTGGTTAGTTTCAAATTATTCGGTGCACCCAGTTTGGAGAAAAGTTTTATAAATATTTTGACGCTTTGATATGTAGAATGACTCTTTCATATCCCCTTAAGTCATCATGAAAGACGCGGTAGATAAAAAATAAGGTACATAAAAAAAATAAAAGACCAGGTACATAAAATTCAAGGTTTCGACCGAGACCATTAAGTCAGTAAGCTTGCAGCTTATTGTAAAAAGTAGCCGAGATTACATATGTATCCATTTAGACAAAAATTGGAATACCGAACTAAAGAAATCTCATATAATTCATTTTTAAATATACGATTGACAACAGTAATTTCCTCCGTTTCTCATGTTCATATCCCACTATTTCGTTATAATTGTAGATCAATAAATTAATTTTGACAAAAATTGTATTACCGATCTATAGGTTATAAACTCGCGTTCCGCATGGATACATTCCGCGCCCACGTGGACAGATATACCGGTGAAGCGGCGCCGTTTCCGCGTTTCCGCATCCGTCCGAAGCCGCCATAATGGTGCCATCGGTCAGCGGCCAGGGATTTAAAATTCAAGGTTCCCGCCGAGACCATTAAAAGCCGGCGAGCGTGCGTCCCACATTCATCCTCCGTCCACCAAAGGAGGATAATTTCACCCCCCCCGAGTTTCCAGCCACTTTTCATCCCCTACCAGCCGCCGAAAGCGCATTCCGCCCAAGGTCTCTGCCATTTCGGAAGGCGAACCCCGAGGTCGGCCATTCCGGGGCGGCAGACTCGCACGAGCATTCGCGGCCTCAAGGTCCCTTTTCCTACGGAGGTCGGGAAGAGAGGACGCGGGAAATTAGAAAGATTCTCACCCGTCGCCCGGAGATTCTGGCCGCGGTCCAGCTGGACCCCGAAGAGCAGCATCCATACCCGAAGACTACTTCTTGGCTCCACCCTCTACCACCCTCCGCGTTCCTTATTTCTCCCGGACTCGTTCCGCGACCATATACCCGCCAGAGAATGCCGTAAACTGAAATTCCGACCCAATCCCGACAGAATCGATTCTAAGGGCCGCCATATCCGGGGCGAAGCTGCGCCTATAAAAAGTACCCTGCGTTGGGGAAAAAAGAGGAAAAAAACAAGAAAATCCGCCCGGACACACGACAGTAGTACTTCAGCAATTCTGTGAAATTCCGGGGAAAAATTATAAATTTAATATTCGAAAGTCATTTAGTAGCGCATTGTTTGTAATTTTTTTAGATGAGCTTTTAATTTTGCGATCGTTTATCGACCGTCTGTAGAGAGATCGTCTAAAATCAAGTACCGATCGACACAAATTTATCACGTATATTATACATTTATTACACGTATGTACTAAATTTCTAATATATGTTACAC